TTTATCCATTGATTGTCGTTTTCTTCTAATGGTTTTGAGATTTGATTGTCTAAATATGGTAGCTTCAGTTAGTTTTGTGGCGTCTTGCCCAGCTTCGTTGTTTATAAATATGTAAGCTAGCTTTTGTATATTGTTTTTCTATGATTTTGTTTTTTTACCATCCCTGAGGGGATGATCCACCTATCCTCATTTGGTTCAAGCATCCATGTCCTGGGTACACCACTACCTATATGTTCATGCCTTGTCCATTGAGGGGCGTTCGGTGGCTAAAGGTGACCGAGTTTATGGGCATTTGGTCCTTTCGAGTCCAAGGTCATGGATTTAGTTTTCGGCTTCCATTTATCCATTGATTGTGGTTTTTCTCAACAGTTTTGACATTCAATTGTTTCAATTTCTCTATAGATGGTAGTTTGTCTTCCATTTTCATGGTTAAGTGTAAAGTAGGCTAGCATTTTTGTGGTTTTGCATTGTTTACCATCTTGAAGGGTAAGATGATCCATCCTTGGTCAATTAATGCATCCATGTCATGCCTATATTTTCCTCACTTATGCATTAAAAGGGGTTGGGTGGCTAAAGTTCACCGATCAAGATTTACCTTTTCAAGTTCTCTTTATACATTGATAGTCGTTCTTCTAATATTTTGAGAATTTATTGATTTAATTTTTCTTTGGATTGTAGTATCATTTTGTTTTGTGGTGTCTTGCCCATTTTTGTTGTTTATCATTTTGTAGATTTTGTGTATTGGTTTTCTATGATGTTACCTTTTTACCATCTCAAAGGCATGATCTACCTATCCTCACTTGGTTCATGCATCCATATCACTGGGACATCTCCACCTTAATGCACCTACCTTGTCCATCGAGGGGAGTTAGGTGGCTAAAGGTTACCGAGTTCAACTAACTTTGGGTAATTGGTCCTGGAGTTTCATGTCTGATGTAAACATTAAACACTGTGATGCCCTCTGTAATACAACGAAAAGTGGGTGGAGTCATGTGGACACATGATACACATTGTGATACCTATAAAACATTGACACTGTTAAGTTTCTTAAGTTTCGAAATCTTTTTATATAACAGTGTGATAATCGTGAACCTAATCTATTCAACCATCAAATTTCCCATCATAGTCAATTTGTATCCATTGGGTATGATAATCGTGTGATAACAGTGTGATAGTCGTGAACATAATCGATACAACCACCAATTTTTCCATCACAATCATTTTGTATCCATTAGGTATGATAACAGTGTGATGATGAATAAGGTTGTGATAACAAACAAAGTGTAGTCGTATTAGGTGATAATCTATACACGATTGGGCTGTCATAATTGTGTATTTTGGAACCGATAAATTGTAGTCGGATTTTGTGATAATCATGTGATACTCGTACCTTAGTCGAACCAAACAATCTTTAAATCAAGCGACTGTGAGCGATTCATGTTCTAAGTGTGATAAATTTGTGATAAGCACCCTTGAATCAATTGTCTAAGCAAAGTTCTCCCCAAGCTTCTTGTTGTTCGATTTCTTCCTCCTATTTCTTAAAAATTATGACACCTCCTTCCTCTATTAATCAAGATAATCACCGTAACTCATGATGTTATCAATTCCTAGATAATCAGAGTCTTTCCTAATCGTGTTTTTTTAAATATTATCACTTCGAATTTCATGATTACCCTTTTGCCTCTCATAACTTTTTGAATTGTTTTTAATATTATTTCTAATTTAAAAAATCCCTTAATTTTGATTATCACAGTACTTGGTTGATAGGCTGTTCTCGCATTTTCGTAAATCAAATAGGTTCTCGTTTGAATCATTTCTTGAAGAATATGTTACAACCATTTTATGCAAAAAATTCAAAAAACTCTTAATTACAAATTTGTATACACGATGTACAAGCCTTTCATGCAATATTTTCACAACTCCAAATGTTAATGGGTCAAACCAACCTTTTCTTATCATGCTTTTAAAAATACCGATTTGGGCCGATTTCTTCTTCAGGATCCTATCTCTGCCACTAAAAGCTTTCTTCTTCTGTGATTTTTGTCACATACGACCAAAACATTTTGGGTTAGATAGCGGATACCTTTCTTCTTTACAGACCTCATTTAACATAACAATGATGGTTTGGATGTATCATCTCGAGCAGATGTGCGATTTTATGAATCAAGGGGATTTGATGTATCACAACCTCATTGATACATATAACTCCCTCCTTCCTGTTGATTTAATCTCACAGGTTCTTCAAAACCCTAGAATATGGAGGTATGCTCTTCAAAACAATATTGATTTCTATTTCAATTTTGATTTCTGCAACCAGATGAGATTTTAACTTCCTTTCTCTTCTTTTTGGTTTAACCGATTGATGAAGCAAGGCTATTTACAACTTAGAGGTAAGAATCCTCAAGAATCCTCTTTTATTGATAATTTTGCTTAGTATGCGATTGATTGATAATCTTTCTATATAGTTGGTTGGTCCTCCAAATCTGTTTTTTTTTTGTAATTTTACTCCAGTTGAATTGTCCTCCAAAACTGGATTTTTTGTAATGTTACTCCAGTCGCACACAGTCTATCCCATTGAGATAAAACTTACTGTGTGTATTAGTAAAATATGGTGTATCCTTCCTTAAATAGATAAAACAGCTACCATGAACTTTCCTCATCCAATGTATGATGTATCCTTCCTTAATAGAATACCAAAGAAATTGCATTCTGTTTGAGACTGCATTCCTGGCTCATGGGTCTGTTTCCATTTCATCTTATTCACACGATTAAGTTTGTTTCCATAATCCCAGTGGCTCATGGGTCGGTTTCCATTTCATCGTATTCACACAATTAAGTCCGTTTTCATTACATTATGTTGCAGATCACGAACTGCTGTTGCTCCTTTGGAACGATGGAGAATTCTTCTCCAGGTGGGTACTTTATCTAATTTCTTTTCTTTTGGTTCCATTTGCAAGTAAACACATATTCTGTCATATTCCCATTTGCAAGTAAACACATTTTGTTCAACTTGCTTAAAAATACCACTTGATGTACATTGCTGAAATTTGAAAATCATGGACAAGCGTTACAGATCAGGAGTTGGAATGTTAATAATCTTAAAGGTGTATAAGGAATTAAAAATCTTCAACATGAGATAAAAGAATCATGACAAACCAAGCAACAGTGTTTAAATTTTAACTATGCAAAAGTGACCCCTTCAATTTTATGCAGTAGGAAATCTCACAAGGAGGAAAGAAAGGTYGACTATGACTGTAAGAGAAATTCRTAAGTAGTATTTTACTYGATGTTGAGGGTCTTGTTGACCTTAATCTTTATGGCACCCTTTGTTGCAAACTTGCAATTGTGGACCAGTTACTTCCAAAACAAAGATGTTGGTTTTTTGATTTGCAGCAATATTATTGGCATATAATCAAGCAGGTTGATGCATCTAATTTGCTTATGTGATTCCTATTCCCAATCTATGCCTGTTGTTTGTCGTTTCCGTTGATTATGCCTTGGTTATTTTGCTTTTGTTGGATTATAAGGGTGTTTCCCAATCTTGAGTGCAAGGTTTTTTGTCCAGGAATTTTTAAAAGTGGTGCCAGGATTTGACTATAAAAATAAATTTGTTGAAATATTTTATAATATTTGTATATATTGGTTGGTTGGTTTCTTGTCCTTGTGCAGAAGGTACCCATGTTTGAGTCTAGGCTATAATTTTTTTTAAACATATAAAAAACACAAAAATTTAAGCTAAAAATTAAAAAAATTGACATTGGTGGGACTTGAACCCGAAGTTTTGTACAAAATGAGCAAGATTTACCAACTCTGCAATTAAAGACTTACATCAAGCTCCACTTTCAAAATATATGGTGCCACCGAACAAAACAACACGGTGGCACCTTTACGAAACATATTTTTCCCCCTTACGGCAGCACCATGAAGCGGTGCCCGTGCCACCGTATGGGTCTATGTAGGTCTGCCCCTGCTTTCAGCGACATATAAATAATGCATTGGACAATTGGAGTAAGGTAAACATGTGTATTGATATATACATACACACAGAAACATATGCTGCTGCCATTTCATCTTATACATACACACAGAAACAGAAACAGCTGTTTCCATTTTTGATATCGGGTATTCCTGCATAGACCTTTGAAATCAATTGACACACTATTGAAAGGGGCAGAATTTCACGTATTATATGTTTCGCAAATCTGAATAAACTGTGAAAGACAAAAGCTGTTTGAAACTGTACTTTGGAATTTGTTATCATATCTTTTTGTAGATGTGTTTTTATCTCATTCTCCTGTTGATTTAGATGGAGTGTTGATTTTTCTGAATCCTCGTTTAATGTAAATTCTTGTTTAATGTAAATTCTTGTTTAATGTAAATTCTTGTTTGGGACAGCTCCAGATTGTTGTGTGTGTGTGTGTGTGTGTTGTGTATTGTACTTTAATCACCCTTTCTTTTATGTTAACTTGATTTAAACTTGAACCTGCACTGTCCCTGTTCACATAACCATATGCTGCTACCATTTCATCTTATACATACACACAGAAACAGAAACAGCTGTTTCTGTTTCTGTTTCTGTTTCATCTTATATATACACTCAGAACATGTTAAACTTGCAATGAACAATAAGAACTAGAACTCAATGCACATCTATAAAATATGTTAAACTTGTGCACTGTCAAAATATAAATGAAATGCTATATTTGGCTATAGGTATAATGAATAACTTCTATCAGCTCACATTTTTTGGTTTTGGTCCATTATCTTTTTCTATTTTCTTATTTTTGGTTGTGTTTGTGTGCTTATGGTATTGATCTTGCATAATGGTAGATGCTATATTTTTTGTTGTGTTTGTGTGCTTTTGGTATTGCTATGTGTGTGTGTGTTTGCCATGCTCCTGTTTGGGTCCTGCTCTTGATTTTAACTTGAACCTTACTTGATGGATAAACTGGAAAATGGTTTTACAGGGAGCTATATTAACTGGAACTGTTGGTGAATCATCCTGCTTTTTTATCCATCTGCAACTTACAGTTTCAACAGTTGTTGGTTGTGTTTGTGTGCTTACAGTTTCAACAGCAGCTGTTTCTTCATGGTTTTGTCATGCTCCTGTCATCTGCATTTACATTCTCTTGAAAACAGCTAACAAAAACAGACAGGTTGTAAATTCTTAAGTAGTCAAAAACATAAACAGACAGCTAACAAATGATGGACTTTTGCAAATGAACCAACAGTAGTAAGAGATTAAGAGATGGCAGATCCAATCCTTAGATTAGGCAAACAGTAGTAAGAGATTAAGAATGGTCAACATCATTCAAGTAAAATGAAAACCGAAAATAATAACCGCATCTTTAATTCATTCATATCCTCAAGCCCAAACTCAAGTACAGAGACTTCATCTCATACGGCAATGGAATTCTATGTAGAAACCACGAGCTTTTATTCCTTAAATTCTGGATCGATTAGAAAGAAAAAAGATTATAAAATAAGAATAGATGAATAGGAGATCCTGGAGATGGGGCTTCAAAATCAGAGAATAGATCTCTTTAGAATCATAAAAAAACATTCACTAAGAACAGCTAATTGCCCTTCAAGATTAGAGAATGATTGAACTAGCCTTAAGCTCATAGTTGACTTTTGAAAGTCAAACAGGTGTTTTTCTCAGCTTCTGTCCAGCAGCTATTACTTGAGTTCAACACAATTTTTGACATACCAGAAGCTTGATTTTGAGAAAATTCAAAACATAAAAGTTGTAGAACTGTGTCTTAGCTTTTCATCCTATCTGGACTCATCAATTTTTGATCTGTCATGAGGGAGATATGATAAAAATGGTACAACTGTGCAAAGCTGACAGCAGAACTATGAGGGAGTTATGCTGTCTAAATGATACAATAAATGCTTCTGTTACTCTTACCTTTGAAAGAAGTTGTAGGATTTGTTATTGTGATGTAGTTCATGCATATGAAGTACTTGGGCAACCAGGAGCACAAGCTTCACGTAAGGGACTTCATTTACACGGTAATTGTATTTAATACTCCACTCAAGTGTTTTCCATTCTCAACATTTATTCTCAAACCAACACTTTGAGGATCAAATGCTTACTCACCCACTCTGTTTTGAGCATGTGATATACCAAAATGGAACTCTCAAATAAGATACACAGACAAAAAGTGTTTGTATGGATGTAGTTGGTGTTTTCTCTTGATCAAAATTGTTTAATTATAGTTCCAATGTTTGGGACTGCATCATCTAGTGCAGAAAATAACAACCAAACAGCCCTGTTACATGTGTGTGTGTGTGTATCTATATACTCATTCTGTTTGGGATTGCATCATCTTTTGCAGAAAATAACAACCAAACAGCCCTGTTACATGTGTGTGTGTGTGTATCTATATACTCATTCTGTTTGGGATTGCATCATCTTTTGCAGAAAATAACAACCAAACAGCCCTGGTTTGTGGCCCTGTTACATATGTATGAGGATTTACATTCAAGGGACTGTGAAAAGATGTATTAGTCTGCGAGTATTTAATAAAATGATTCATGCTTATGATATTAAAACCATGTAACCAACTTCTCTTAGTCTGCTTACTTTTTGCAGATACATTTTCTGATGAATTGAAATATGTCTCTCACAAGGGACGCCATTCTTTACTAAAATATCAACTACCGGTAAGATTGTTATTAAGGCTCTTACATGGGTTTTCAATTAGAAATAAGTGTTTGTGTACATTATATTGTATTGTAAAACTTAGGAGCCGTTTATCAAACACTTATTGAGTCATTGCCCTCACTTACCAGGTAAGACTCTTAGTGCTTGCCTCATTCTTATTGAGTAAGATTTTTTGTTCTTACCATATTCAGAATTGTGATTTACCCGCGCTGCATCTCGCGGGTACACCACTAGTATATATATATATATATATATATATATATATATATATAGAGAGGAGTGATCATATGAAAACCATCTTCATTTGTGTAAACCGTGCAAACCACCTTCATCTATCGATTTCATTGTTTAATCTTATGAAATTTTTTCATGAAATTGTTTAATCTTGTGAAATTGTTTCATATAATATTTTTTTTTGATGAAGTT